ATCCCCCCGTGTAAAATACCCATCATAACCGTATGTTTGTAAAAGATCCCGGGTACTTAAGTCAGTGCTGTACGGTAACTATACTCTGTCATTGTTTTCCGTAATAATGCCATGCGATTAAGAGATATTCTGTGGTATATGTTTTTAATGAATCACCTCCTCCCTTGTGCCTGAACTTCAGAAATTAACTCTAAACGATAATCAACTTGAATGGCCTAAATTTCGCTATAATTCAATAAAAAAATTAATCATTAAATACGTAAATATAAAAAAAATTAAAAATGATATTTTGAATAAAAATTCGGATGATAATGAGTATATAACACCTATTTATTTATTGAATACATATGAAGATTTTTTTATAAAAATGACATAATATTATTAAAATAGTATTGTTGTCCCATTAGACCATTTTGTTAAATTCGTATATATATTCAGATGTGAATAAATATATATTCCCCTAACATAAGGTTCCACGAACAATGGCAAAATAAAGGCAGCAATTGGTAAAAACAAAGATATTTTAAAAACTTTGATAGCAAAACTATCTTTAAAATCTTTTCCTCTTCCTAAAATATCACCTTCAACAGCTTCCCACAAAACCAAAAGTATTCCATGTAATAAGAAAAAAATTGTAAAATCTATCGAAAAATGATTAAAAGACACTATTGCTATATAATCATGAAGTACTCCACTTATCAAAAAAGCAGCACATATTCCAAGTGCGCGCCCAAGGGTTTTGTTGCGTTTAAAATAATTTTTGACAGGAAGGTATCCAAGTTCTTGAAAAGTTTGATTAAAGGTTTGATGCCATTGATTGGACCATAGATCTCGAGGACTTGTTGAAAAGTATGGGTTACCCATTAGAGGTTTTGTATAGAATATTGAAATGATTAACCATTCTTTGATGATTGTTTTAAAAGATTTTGAATTTTCTCGTTGTTTTCTGGGTTTATCTTTATTTTTATCAGTGTCGTTGGATAACAAAGGTTTTAAAATTATGCCATAGATGATACAATCAATGTTCCACGCTAGTGAAATGAATATCATCGCACAAGTTATATAAAGAATACAAAAAAAGAAGGCATATGTTTCAATAAATGGATGTCCAGTCCTAAGATAATCTAAAACTCGTAACCCATATGATCTTTCTGGAAATTGTGGTTTGTTATTTTTTAAATATTCTGACATAAGGTCTAAAAATAAAAGTTTCATAATAACCGTAATTATGTGATTAATCATCTCTCGGTTAAGGTCTGAAACTTTGATAGAATCAATATATTTTTGATATTTTGATTCATCAGGAATAGTTACTGATTTAGGACGCCAATTACATAATGAACCGATGAATGAAGGAACTTTAATTTTCGGATCGATGGAAGATTGGTAATTTTTTTTCAACCACAACATCATTTTAAAAAAGTAAAGTGCTACAAATGCTGCTATACCTAAGTTCAATTGTGGGTTGTATCTTCCGTGATATAGGAAAGGAATCAGCACTTGAACAAAGGGTATAATACAAAGTATGAAAACGATTGGTTTGCTAGTTACGGGCTTGAGAGATAAAAGAATAAATGCAAATAACGGAACATGGATGACTATTGCATAGACTATTGGATTTAATTTAGGTGGAAATTCGTATATCTGAGACATCTTTCACTAATTCAGTAATTGGTATATTTGCTGAAAATTTTTATTTACATTTACGATCGAACTTGAAAAAGCGTGTATTTATAAATTTTATCAATGGCACTATTGGCTCCATTGTTATCTGTAAAAAAAAGCTGATATGAGTGTGTCGCTAAGCAATTCTAAAAATAGATTTATTACTTGGAATTGGAAACCGGTTTAAATCCGGAACTCGTGCATAAATTTCTTACACAATGTACAAATATAGACACGTGGCGTTACAGAAGCGCGTCGGTTATTGTGTGATGATTACTACGTAAAATCACTTTTACCAACTTTCAGTCAACATATCATCAAAGAGGAAAATACTGGAACTGCTTTTTTTTGATCTTTTTAATATAAATGTAATTTCTGTTATCAAGAAGCATAGAAATGTGAATCCTCCGCTTCGCTCCAGATAATGAAATTCGTAATAAATCTATTTTAGTATTGCCAGTTTTCCCTTAGCGACACTCATATTTTTTGTTTTTTTTTTTTTTTACTATTTTTCGTATTTGTATCATGTTTATGCATAAGACCTGCAATCATAATTTCCTCTTAATCTATAAAAGGTGGTTGGCTAAAGTTTAGGGATGCCTTTTTGATGCAGGTATGGTTAGTGGGTTATATTAAATATCAAGTATGTAATTTATGCAGCATGTAGATCATATTGAATTAACTCCGCCTTATCCGCCATTTTTACATACAGTATACTTTGATTCTAGATCGTAATTACTTCATAATGCATATACCATTTAAAAGAAATTTATTGTATACATTATCGTTATAATCAGGTATATTCATGTTTGTGTGATGAAAATGATTGTGGAAAATTACGTTGAATGAGAATATTCTATAAAAATTTTACTGCCCAATCCAAATTCAAAGTCATATAATGCAATAAATGCAAAAATTAAAACAATCCGAGAAAATTATTCAATGTTTTACCTTAAGTTGCCTTTTGCGCACTAACAAAACAAAAATATTTAACAACTTTTTACAACGATAAAGCTCCTTCTAACTGAATCTAATACAAATCTAACCCTAATCTAATGATGAAATTTTCTTAGCAAATATGACCCCAAGTAATCAGATAATGACATTGAGCCATTTGCATATATAATAATTTAATTGCTCATAATAAAAGTTATTGAACTTTTATTACGATAACCATAGCTATATATTAAAGTCAAAATTTACCAAAATTAATATTTATACCTTAATTAAAGCTATTCGGGATAATAAATTGCATTTTTATCCCTAGTGATGTCAAATTAATTAATTTTTAATAAGCAAAATAGTTTTTGCGTAAAAATAATTATAGTAATTGCGAAAATTGAAATATACCATAATTAAATTTAGTAATTACCGTATTTACGCGAAATAACGCGCAGGGGTGAAATTACAAATTTTGGCCTAAATTAAGCTTAATTCGGGCCATTATTCTAAATAACGCCCCTGTGCGTTATTTCGCGTAAATACGGTAAAATTCTAAAATATACGTACGTACGTACATACAGCGTTGCATGCCAGATATAGTAATAGTGCCCACGATATAAAGCAATTGGCGTAATTAATATAAAAAAAATTTAATTAACATAATTGTTAGAATAATAAATCTTTGAAGTCGAATATATCAAACTTATTTCATTAATATGACTGAATCATCTTCAATATATTATTCTGCTCCGATAGTCAACAAATAGCAGCAGTAATGTAAAAAAACCGTAATTGGGTTGGAAGTATGGATTATAATATGGAAGACTTGATAAATCGAATGTTTGAACTGAATGATGAATTTATATTTATATTTATATTTATATTTATAGATGTTAGTAATATAATAAGCATCAAAAAAAAACTGGAAACAGAAAAATTAAAATTCTATACAGTAATAGCAATTGCGAACTGAGTATTAATTATAGTTCAATGCTGTATATTAAAATACATAGCAATAGAATTTATTATAATTATCTAAATACAGTCAGACCCCCTAAATGCTACCCCTAAGTGCACGTCCTATGTAACACCTCCCTAAATGCACGGCTTTACTTGGGCCCAACTAATATTACATCTATAAATTTTTACCTCCCTAAATGCAATACCTCTCTAAGTGCACGTTTGACTAAATTTTATATATGGTCCCATCGCATTGTATTTAGTGAGGTCTGACTGTTTTTGTATATGCATTATCTATTTGTATATGCTTATTGTATACGTATATATTTATTCTGTTACTATTTAATATAATTTATATTTTAGCGAATATAATGCTAAACTTATTTATTGTATTTTGCAATAATTTCAATATTTAAATTTGAAAAAACGAAATTTATTTTAATACCGGCTTTTAAAATGATCAAATTAATTTAATTAACATCACTAATTATCCCGAACAACTTCATTTAAGGCATAAATATTAATTAGTAAAATTTTGACTTTAATATATGGCTACGATTATTAATTATATTTTTATAAAATTTAATTTTATTTGGCGGCCAATTTTGATTGGTTAAAAGGTATTAAAATATTAAGTAACATATTTATTAATTAAAGCGTTTGAAATAATTCTACTGGTTTTTAAAATTTTCAGATGTTATCAAATATAAGCATAAGTATTAATATATAAAAAGCACATTTAGGATCGGCGCCACATTTACTCATGTTTTATCTGTTATGTTGGTTTTATATAATTGGTTTTTTAAAAAAAATGAAAAAAAGGTTGGTAAAAATAAATTGTGATTACGTATATGGGTTTTGTAACTATAGAGATGACTATAAAAAATTTTGACCGTATAAACGAATGGACTTGACAAATTTTGTATTAAATTCCGTTATAGACTTACTTCAAGATAGACTTTTTAAAATTATTAGTATAATCCCCGATCACTATATCAAGATCACGGGAGGATTAATTAATAATTCCTTGACCGTATGTGAATAAGCGGAAACTTTTCCGCTAATTCCTAACGAATTAGGACATTATTATTACAAATCGCAGCTACAGAACCGCACTTTGATTAGTTGTCAGCTGATACACAATTGGCCGACTATGTAAAGTTCTATGTAAACAAACATTTGTTTACATAGAATTTTATATAGTCGGCCTCCGCTATATATGTTAGTGATTTGGTAATAAAGTTAGTAAATGGACTGGCAAAAATATCAATTATATATAATATAGCCTTTTTACTATTGAATCAATTATAGCTGATATAAATTTCTTATTAAAAATTGAATACTTCAAACTTAGTCCGTTTTAATTTAGCCAGTGGATCTCGTATAATGGTGCTCGCTATATCGATAATTAACAGTAAATACAGTAAATGTTTACTTCGTTGATCATAATCCTCAACAAAACCTTGAATTTTTGGAATTTCTTAAACCAACGACAAATTCTTAACTATATCCAATTTTTTAATAATTTATGTAATACGTTTATTATAGGTGTCTAATTTTTCTTGTCATAATTTATTTGTTGACAAGAACAGTATTTTCTATGAATTTTCGTACAAACTATACACACTAAACATATACAAACGAAAATTTAATAATGTGAAATGTGTTTAAATAATAATGATAAAACTATTCGTAGAATAAGCATTATATGTAATATAACTATCATGTAAGGGCCAAATGTTATAATCAAGGGTTCAAATTTATCGTAACCAATTATAATGCAAGATTTTGAAAATTTAAAATATACCGTAAAATTCAGAAAATAAGCATCACACAACCCACCAAGTATTGCCACCCAAATCAGTTACATATATACGGAGCTTAAATTTATTTGCCGACATTAAAATTAATAATTAACAATAGTGACATTTGATTAATAACAATAATAATAATATCAAGAATGATAATAACAAATTACTTGAAATTTTTTATTTCTTTGAATACCAGAATATTTTCTGAAATGGAATATACACATCTTACAAAACTTTATTCATGTCGAATTACAAATAATAATAAATAATGTTTTGAGCATACAAGCCGTATAAATGAAAGCAAAAAACGAAAATGTGAGCATCGAATTTTAAATAATATTCCATAAGCAAAAAGAAAACACCATAAAATCTCAAGAGCTTGAATACGTATATATTTTATGAAAAACTTATGGATGTTGAAGAAAGCAATAAATATATGTTATGCTAAAAGGATTACTTGTACAAATTCAACTAAACACATATTGATCTTGTTAGTAGTCAGTAAAGTTGCATCGGTTTCAATTACTGCCACATGAACGAATATTGCCATTGTGGCGTAAAGAATTCAAAACTGAGTGGAATAAATTAATCACACATAGTATTAAATAAGAAGCATTTAACTGATTACCAAAAGTGATCATATTCTTATCCTTATCTTTTTAAAAACAGGTTCTTATTACAAATACAGTATCTTGTTAATCCTTTCGGGAAGATGGATGCATCATTTTCTGGAGGGTTGTCATTACATTACAGTTTAAAAAATTTTAAATCTAACATATTTAGGCACAACGAAATTCTCAATATCCTTTTATTACAGAAGCTAAAGAAACTATATGGGAAAATATTCGAACGTCGTCTTAATTGATTACACACATGTCAATTTTACGATCGATCATAAAACCAAGATATAGATAAGGCCACGCAAAGTTGATTTTTCGTTTTGCATTACCCGCCGACCCATTTTTTTCAAATTTTCGATTTTTTTTTTTTTTTTTAAGCCCCAATTGTGCCAATTGTTCTATTTTTGGCATTTAAAATTTTCAATAAATTAATCCGATATTACCCGATAGCGACCTTATTTTCCCGAAATGATCCGATAGAACTGATAGAAAAAAAATTTGACTACCAACCTAATTTTCTGATTCCATGTTATACAAAACGAAAAATTAACTTTGTGCGGCCTTATATGTAAACATGAGCCATTAATTGACCGTAGATTTAAAAAAAAAAAATCCGACCGACCGACCGGGAATTTTGAAATCCATGTAATGCAAAACGAAAAATCAACTTTGCGTGGCCTAATGAGGAATCGAGTATTGAAGTAATGAATCTGAATCTGGAATTTTAAGACAGAAAAACTCTTTGAGGTATAAAAAAAATTTTTCCATCATTATATTTCTGTGTTTAAATAAATATATTTATTAATTTTATGTTGTAGGCGCTTGATTGTCTTGAAAGGTTTAATAATTTTCCCAAATAGAAAAATGGCTTTGAAGTATTGCATCGAAATTTAAACCTATTCAGAAGATGATAGATGACATTAAAAATTTCAAACGAGCAAAAAAGCTTCCAAAAACTTGGAATGGACATAACAAAAAACACCTTTTACTAGTAGCATTAAATTCAAATTTAAAGCTATATACGTGTATTAAATAAAATTTGGATATAAATGCATTTTATACATTCGGATTGAATGTAATGTGGCTTGAATTCTAATAAGTTGAATAAATATATATATAAAAAATCAATTATTTCTTCAAGAAATCTCGTGATCTCACAACTCTACTTTATCTAATCGCAGATTAGTAGGAATAGTAATAAAATCTTTACTAGAGTTATTTCCGTTAATCTGAGGTTAAAAAAAGTAAGGTAGAGTGTATGATGCTTATTTTCTGAGTTTTACGGTAAATGTTATTTTCTTTTGACGTTAAACACATGAATTTTTTTTAATTCATTCCCAAAATGGAAATTTTTAGAGAAATAGGCCCGCACAATGGTAAAATTAGCCCAGTAATATTTTTCACTTAATGTGTGGCTGTGGTTTCATTAGTAAAATTTTGAGTAATTTTGGCCTAAATTATTGATCGTCGATAATAGCCAATCAAAATCGAGGATCCTCCGTGAAATTTTGGTGCGGCAGCTAGGTTCAATATAAATAGTGAGATATTTAAAACGGTAACCGGATAACATATCGATATTACTGTAAATAATATTATAGATCACGTAATTTTTTTCAATGCATTGCTAGATAATGTTTTAATGTGTATTATGCCATACGGTTAAAAATTGACTAATGAGATATTCTGTGGTATATGTTTTAATGAATCAACTCCCTCCATGTGCCGACTTTAGAAAATTAACGCTAAGCAATAACCAACTTGAATGGCCTAAGTTCCATTGTAATCCAACGAAAAAAAAATTTGAACAATTGAATAATAATCATTAAATACGTAAATATGAAAAAATATAAATGTCATTTTATTATAATAAATACAGAATAATAATAATAATATGCATATATTATCTATTTATCTATTGAATGCATATGTAGGTTTATTTCTAAAAATGTCAAATTATATTAATAAAGATTATATTGTTGTTGTCACATTAGACCATTTTGTTAAATTCGTATATATATCCAGATGTGACTTAATAAATGTTTCCCTAATATAAGGTTCCACAAACAATGGTAAAATAAAGGCAGCAATTGGTAAAAACAAAGACATTTTAAAAACTTTGATTCCAAAACTATCTTTAAAGTCCTTTCCTCTTCCTAAAATATCACCTTCAACAGCTTCCCACAAAACCAAAAGAATTCCATGAAATAAGAAAAAAATTGTATAATCAATCGAAAAATGATTAAAAGCCACTATGGCTATATAATCATGAAGTACTCCACTTATCAAAAAAGCTGCACATATTCCAAATGCGCGCCCAAGGATTTTGTTGTGTTTAAAATAATTTTTGACAGGAAGGTATCCAAGTTCTTGAAAAACTTGATTTAAGATTTGATGCCATTGATTGGACCATAGATCTCGAGGACTCGTTGAAAAGTATGGGTTACCCAATAGAGGTTTTGTATAGAATATTGAAAGGATTAACCATTCTTTGATGTTTGTTTTAAGAGATTTTGAATCTTCTCGTTGTTTTCTGTGTTTATCTTTATTTTTATCAGTGTAGTTAGATAACAAAGGTTTTAAAATTATGCCATAGATGATACAATAAATATTCCACGATTGTGAAAAGAATATCATCGCACAAGTTATATAAAGAATACAAAAAAAGAAGGCATATGGTTCAATAAATGGATGTCCAGTCCTAAGATAATCTAAAACTCGTAACCCATATGATCTTTCTGGAAATTTTGGTTTGTTATTTTTTAAATATTCGGATATGAGATCTATAAGTAAAAATTTCATAATAGCCGCAATTATGTGATTAATCATCTCTCGGTTAAGGTCTGAGACTTTGATTGAATTAATATATTTTTGATATTTTGATTCATCAGGAATAGTTACTGATTTAGGACGCCAATTACATAATGAACCAATAAATGAAGGAACCTTAATTTTTGGATCGATGGAAGATTGGTAATTTTTTTTCAACCATAGCATCATTTTAAAAAAGTAAAATGCTGCAAATACTGCTATATTGAAGTGAAATTGTGGGTCGTATCTTCCATGATATAAGAAAGGAATCAGCGCTTGAACTAAGGGTATTATACAAAGTACGAAAGCGAGGGGTTTGCTAGTTACGGGTTTGAGAGATAAAAGAATAAATGCAAATAAAGGAACATGGATGACTATTGCATAGACTATTGGATTTAATTTGGGTGGAAATTCGTATATCTGAGACATCTTTCACTAATTGGTATATTTGCTGAAAATTTTTATTTACCTTTACGACCGAACATGAAAAAGCGTGTATTTATAAATTTTATCAATGACTCTATTGACTCCATTGTTAACTGTAAAAAAAAACTGATACGTATGAGTGTCGCAACCAGTAACCGGCTTAAAACCGGATCTCGTGCATAAATTTCATACACAATGTACAAATATAGACACTTGGCGTCACAGATGGAAAATACAGAAACTACATTTTTTGATCTTTTTAATAATAAATGTAATTTCTAGAAATGTCTATTTTTAGAATTTCCGCATATTTGTTTGTCATTAGGCATCTACAATTTGCGTTTCTTTGCATTATACATGACTTTGAATTTGGATTGGGCAGTAAAATTTTATTTTTTATAGAATATTCTCATTCAACGTAATTTTTCCACCTCACATAACCTGATTAAGTATAATGTATTCAATAAATTTCCTTTCAATGGTATATGTATTATGAAGTAATTACGAAAGCACACTGTATGTAAAAATGGCGAATAGAGCGGAGTTAATTCAATATGATCTACACGCTGCATAAATTATCGCTCCGCCATGGCCGACCACCTTTTATAAATTAAGAGGAAACTTCATTGCAGGTCTTATGCACAAACATGATACAAATACGAGAAATCGTAAAAAAAAAGGAACGCACTGCACAAATAAATAACCAAAACCAAACAGTAAGAACAAGAGAAAGAGAAAACGTCAAATTGTAGATGCCTAATGACAAACAAATATGCGGAAATTCTAAAAATAGACATTTCTAGAAATTACATTTATTATTAAAAAGATCAAAAAATGTAGTTTCTGTATTTTCCATCTGTGACGCCAAGTGTCTATATTTGTACATTGTGTATGAAATTTATGCACGAGATCCGGTTTTAAGCCGGTTACTGGTTGCGACACTCATACGTATCAGTTTTTTTTTACAGTTAACAATGGAGTCAATAGAGTCATTGATAAAATTTATAAATACACGCTTTTTCATGTTCGGTCGTAAAGGTAAATAAAAATTTTCAGCAAATATACCAATTAGTGAAAGATGTCTCAGATATACGAATTTCCACCCAAATTAAATCCAATAGTCTATGCAATAGTCATCCATGTTCCTTTATTTGCATTTATTCTTTTATCTCTCAAACCCGTAACTAGCAAACCCCTCGCTTTCGTACTTTGTATAATACCCTTAGTTCAAGCGCTGATTCCTTTCTTATATCATGGAAGATACGACCCACAATTTCACTTCAATATAGCAGTATTTGCAGCATTTTACTTTTTTAAAATGATGCTATGGTTGAAAAAAAATTACCAATCTTCCATCGATCCAAAAATTAAGGTTCCTTCATTTATTGGTTCATTATGTAATTGGCGTCCTAAATCAGTAACTATTCCTGATGAATCAAAATATCAAAAATATATTAATTCAATCAAAGTCTCAGACCTTAACCGAGAGATGATTAATCACATAATTGCGGCTATTATGAAATTTTTACTTATAGATCTCATATCCGAATATTTAAAAAATAACAAACCAAAATTTCCAGAAAGATCATATGGGTTACGAGTTTTAGATTATCTTAGGACTGGACATCCATTTATTGAACCATATGCCTTCTTTTTTTGTATTCTTTATATAACTTGTGCGATGATATTCTTTTCACAATCGTGGAATATTTATTGTATCATCTATGGCATAATTTTAAAACCTTTGTTATCTAACTACACTGATAAAAATAAAGATAAACACAGAAAACAACGAGAAGATTCAAAATCTCTTAAAACAAACATCAAAGAATGGTTAATCCTTTCAATATTCTATACAAAACCTCTATTGGGTAACCCATACTTTTCAACGAGTCCTCGAGATCTATGGTCCAATCAATGGCATCAAATCTTAAATCAAGTTTTTCAAGAACTTGGATACCTTCCTGTCAAAAATTATTTTAAACACAACAAAATCCTTGGGCGCGCATTTGGAATATGTGCAGCTTTTTTGATAAGTGGAGTACTTCATGATTATATAGCCATAGTGGCTTTTAATCATTTTTCGATTGATTATACAATTTTTTTCTTATTTCATGGAATTCTTTTGGTTTTGTGGGAAGCTGTTGAAGGTGATATTTTAGGAAGAGGAAAGGACTTTAAAGATAGTTTTGGAATCAAAGTTTTTAAAATGTCTTTGTTTTTACCAATTGCTGCCTTTATTTTACCATTGTTTGTGGAACCTTATATTAGGGAAACATTTATTAAGTCACATCTGGATATATATACGAATTTAACAAAATGGTCTAATGTGACAACAACAATATAATCTTTATTAATATAATTTGACATTTTTAGAAATAAACCTACATATGCATTCAATAGATAAATAGATAATATATGCATATTATTATTATTATTCTGTATTTATTATAATAAAATGACATTTATATTTTTTCATATTTACGTATTTAATGATTATTATTCAATTGTTCAAATTTTTTTTTCGTTGGATTACAATGGAACTTAGGCCATTCAAGTTGGTTATTGCTTAGCGTTAATTTTCTAAAGTCGGCACATGGAGGGAGTTGATTCATTAAAACATATACCACAGAATATCTCATTAGTCAATTTTTAACCGTATGGCATAATACACATTAAAACATTATCTAGCAATGCATTGAAAAAAATTACGTGATCTATAATATTATTTACAGTAATATCGATATGTTATCCGGTTACCGTTTTAAATATCTCACTATTTATATTGAACCTAGCTGCCGCACCAAAATTTCACGGAGGATCCTCGATTTTGATTGGCTATTATCGACGATCAATAATTTAGGCCAAAATTACTCAAAATTTTACTAATGAAACCACAGCCACACATTAAGTGAAAAATATTACTGGGCTAATTTTACCATTGTGCGGGCCTATTTCTCTAAAAATTTCCATTTTGGGAATGAATTAAAAAAAATTCATGTGTTTAACGTCAAAAGAAAATAACATTTACCGTAAAACTCAGAAAATAAGCATCATACACTCTACCTTACTTTTTTTAACCTCAGATTAACGGAAATAACTCTAGTAAAGATTTTATTACTATTCCTACTAATCTGCGATTAGATAAAGTAGAGTTGTGAGATCACGAGATTTCTTGAAGAAATAATTGATTTTTTATATATATATTTATTCAACTTATTAGAATTCAAGCCACATTACATTCAATCCGAATGTATAAAATGCATTTATATCCAAATTTTATTTAATACACGTATATAGCTTTAAATTTGAATTTAATGCTACTAGTAAAAGGTGTTTTTTGTTATGTCCATTCCAAGTTTTTGGAAGCTTTTTTGCTCGTTTGAAATTTTTAATGTCATCTATCATCTTCTGAATAGGTTTAAATTTCGATGCAATACTTCAAAGCCATTTTTCTATTTGGGAAAATTATTAAACCTTTCAAGACAATCAAGCGCCTACAACATAAAATTAATAAATATATTTATTTAAACACAGAAATATAATGATGGAAAAATTTTTTTTATACCTCAAAGAGTTTTTCTGTCTTAAAATTCCAGATTCAGATTCATTACTTCAATACTCGATTCCTCATTAGGCCACGCAAAGTTGATTTTTCGTTTTGCATTACATGGATTTCAAAATTCCCGGTCGGTCGGTCGGATTTTTTTTTTTTAAATCTACGGTCAATTAATGGCTCATGTTTACATATAAGGCCGCACAAAGTTAATTTTTCGTTTTGTATAACATGGAATCAGAAAATTAGGTTGGTAGTCAAATTTTTTTTCTATCAGTTCTATCGGATCATTTCGGGAAAATAAGGTCGCTATCGGGTAATATCGGATTAATTTATTGAAAATTTTAAATGCCAAAAATAGAACAATTGGCACAATTGGGGCTTAAAAAAAAAAAAAAAAATCGAAAATTTGAAAAAAATGGGTCGGCGGGTAATGCAAAACGAAAAATCAACTTTGCGTGGCCTTATCTATATCTTGGTTTTATGATCGATCGTAAAATTGACATGTGTGTAATCAATTAAGACGACGTTCGAATATTTTCCCATATAGTTTCTTTAGCTTCTGTAATAAAAGGATATTGAGAATTTCGTTGTGCCTAAATATGTTAGATTTAAAATTTTTTAAACTGTAATGTAATGACAACCCTCCAGAAAATGATGCATCCATCTTCCCGAAAGGATTAACAAGATACTGTATTTGTAATAAGAACCTGTTTTTAAAAAGATAAGGATAAGAATATGATCACTTTTGGTAATCAGTTAAATGCTTCTTATTTAATACTATGTGTGATTAATTTATTCCACTCAGTTTTGAATTCTTTACGCCACAATGGCAATATTCGTTCATGTGGCAGTAATTGAAACCGATGCAACTTTACTGACTACTAACAAGATCAATATGTGTTTAGTTGAATTTGTACAAGTAATCCTTTTAGCATAACATATATTTATTGCTTTCTTCAACATCCATAAGTTTTTCATAAAATATATACGTATTCAAGCTCTTGAGATTTTATGGTGTTTTCTTTTTGCTTATGGAATATTATTTAAAATTCGATGCTCACATTTTCGTTTTTTGCTTTCATTTATACGGCTTGTATGCTCAAAACATTATTTATTATTATTTGTAATTCGACATGAATAAAGTTTTGTAAGATGTGTATATTCCATTTCAGAAAATATTCTGGTATTCAAAGAAATAAAAAATTTCAAGTAATTTGTTATTATCATTCTTGATATTATTATTATTGTTATTAATCAAATGTCACTATTGTTAATTATTAATTTTAATGTCGGCAAATAAATTTAAGCTCCGTATATATGTAACTGATTTGGGTGGCAATACTTGGTGGGTTGTGTGATGCTTATTTTCTGAATTTTACGGTATATTTTAAATTTTCAAAATCTTGCATTATAATTGGTTACGATAAATTTGAACCCTTGATTATAACATTTGGCCCTTACATGATAGTTATATTACATATAATGCTTATTCTACGAATAGTTTTATCATTATTATTTAAACACATTTCACATTATTAAATTTTCGTTTGTATATGTTTAGTGTGTATAGTTTGTACGAAAATTCATAGAAAATACTGTTCTTGTCAACAAATAAATTATGACAAGAAAAATTAGACACCTATAATAAACGTATTACATAAATTATTAAAAAATTGGATATAGTTAAGAATTTGTCGTTGGTTTAAGAAATTCCAAAAATTCAAGGTTTTGTTGAGGATTATGATCAACGAAGTAAACATTTACTGTATTTACTGTTAATTATCGATATAGCGAGCACCATTATACGAGATCCACTGGCTAAATTAAAACGGACTAAGTTTGAAGTATTCAATTTTTAATAAGAAATTTATATCAGCTATAATTGATTCAATAGTAAAAAGGCTATATTATATATAATTGATATTTTTGCCAGTCCATTTACTAACTTTATTACCAAATCACTAACATATATAGCGGAGGCCGACTATATAAAATTCTATGTAAACAAATGTTTGTTTACATAGAACTTTACATAGTCGGCCAATTGTGTATCAGCTGACAACTAATCAAAGTGCGGTTCTGTAGCTGCGATTTGTAATAATAATGTCCTAATTCGTTAGGAATTAGCGGAAAAGTTTCCGCTTATTCACATACGGTCAAGGAATTATTAATTAATCCTCCCGTGATCTTGATATAGTGATCGGGGATTATACTAATAATTTTAAAAAGTCTATCTTGAAGTAAGTCTATAACGGAATTTAATACAAAATTTGTCAAGTCCATTCGTTTATACGGTCAAAATTTTTTATAGTCATCTCTATAGTTACAAAACCCATATACGTAATCACAATTTATTTTTACCAACCTTTTTTTCATTTTTTTTAAAAAACCAATTATATAAAACCAACATAACAGATAAAACATGAGTAAATGTGGCGCCGATCCTAAATGTGCTTTTTATATATTAATACTTATGCTTATATTTGATAACATCTGAAAATTTTAAAAACCAGTAGAATTATTTCAAACGCTTTAATTAATAAATATGTTACTTAATATTTTAATACCTTTTAACCAATCAAAATTGGCCGCCAAATAAAATTAAATTTTATAAAAATATAATTAATAATCGTAGCCATATATTAAAGTCAAAATTTTACTAATTAATATTTATGCCTTAAATGAAGTTGTTCGGGATAATTAGTGATGTTAATTAAATTAATTTGATCATTTTAAAAGCCGGTATTAAAATAAATTTCGTTTTTTCAAATTTAAATATTGAAATTATTGCAAAATACAATAAATAAGTTTAGCATTATATTCGCTAAAATATAAATTATATTAAATAGTAACAGAATAAATATATACGTATACAATAAGCATATACAAATAGATAATGCATATACAAAAACAGTCAGACCTCACTAAATACAATGCGATGGGACCATATATAAAATTTAGTCAAACGTGCACTTAGAGAGGTATTGCATTTAGGGAGGTAAAAATTTATAGATGTAATATTAGTTGGGCCCAAGTAAAGCCGTGCATTTAGGGAGGTGTTACATAGGACGTGCACTTAGGGGTAGCATTTAGGGGGTCTGACTGTATTTAGATAATTATAATAAATTCTATTGCTATGTATTTTAATATACAGCATTGAACTATAATTAATACTCAGTTCGCAATTGCTATTACTGTATAGAATTTTAATTTTTCTGTTTCCAGTTTTTTTTTGATGCTTATTATATTACTAACATCTATAAATATAAATATAAATATAAATATAAATTCATCATTCAGTTCAAACATTCGATTTATCAAGTCTTCCATATTATAATCCATACTTCCAACCCAATTACGGTTTTTTTACATTACTGCTGCTATTTGTTGACTATCGGAGCAGAATAATATATTGAAGATGATTCAGTCATATTAATGAAATAAGTTTGA